AGACAATCGTCTCTCAGTTCTTCCGATGAACTTGAAACCGTAAGTACATTGAAATAGATAAACACAGAAGGAGGTAACTGAAGAGTAGTTGGGTTTGTCTAGATTAGATTCAATTAGCACTCGCTTCGTGTCGTGCAGTATTATGAGGGAGGCAGCGTTATACGTTCTTTCGATCGCCTGTTTCAATCTGCGTTGTATCAGCCTATCGTTTTGATCACTTTGAAACGGTATGGTGACAAAAATAGTTTTTTTTTGAGGCGGTGTCACTTTGTTTTAGTGTATTCAACGGTGCCCTATACTTTAAAATAAATCTTTTTAGGGTATCCATTTTCGTGTAGTGCCGTAGATATGCAGCGAGCATCGGACACTAATATTTCACTGGAGCAGATTATCCGGACTCTAGAGAATAAACTGTGCACCAATGATCGTTTTTATTGTATTGGAAAGAAACTTCTAAAATTAAGATACTGCCCCATCGATGTCGGCTTGTCAAATACGGATCTGATGAGAGATCCGCCCTTTTTCTCATCAATTTCACGTCCAGGAACTGGAAGAAAGATTCGGATTCGTGCTCCACCATGAATTTAGCATTCGGATGTGAACGAGAGTTTTCTAAGCATTACTTGTGCTTGTGCGCGGTTATTCAGTTTGACAAATGTGCCATAGAGGTGTGTGCTTTTTATGCATTGTTGCAGTTTTGCATTCTCCAAGTTTCCCATGAAGAAATCAGCTAGGACCGGTCCTAATGGACTTCCCATTGCAACTCCTTCAACTTGACGATAATAATCTCCGTTAGATCAGAACTGATCATCTTTAGTACATAGAAGCAATGATCGTGCGTAAAGCGACCCGGGCTGATATCGTGATTTTAGCAGGTGATATGAATGCTCGAGTAGGTCGACTGGCTCCGAGTGAGGCGCATCTGGGTGGTCCTTTTGGACTAGACTCCTGTCGCTCCGAAAACGGGGATCAGTTGTTGGCTCTTTGTTCCGACCACTGCTTATTCCTTGCCAGTACGAACTTCAGGCGTTCCAACTGCCGGTACGCCACTTGGCGTCCGCCCTCCTCGGGTCAGAGACGGACGCAGATTGACCACATCGCTATAAGCCACAAATGGCGGGGCTGCATCCAAGATTGCCGTTCGTACTAGAGCACTCCCCTCGAATCCGACCACGCATTAGTATGTGCCAAGCTGTCCATGTGCTTC